TACCACAGCGTCAATACACACATACAATATACCACAGCGTCAATGTACAGACAAAATACAGTACAGCGTCAATACACACATACAATATACCACAGCGTCAATACACACATACAATATACCACAGCGTCAATATACTGACAAAATGTACCACAGCGTCAATATGCAGACAAAATATAGCTTAGCGTCAATACACTCATGATTTAACATTCAAATTTGTAGGTCTGTACAACTGTTCATTTTTAGCTCCAAGCGATTTAACATGTAATACCCAACAGTAATATTGAATAACCAGGATTCCTACTTCGACTATTCCCATCTGTCTCTCCCCTCCACCTCCTCTCTTATTCCAGCCCCTCTCCCCTTTTTCCAACACCAACAATCTCTGTGTACTAACTTCAATCTTAGCGTCCATCAATATCATAACCGTTTCCATATGACAAAGAGTGCGTGTTCGGTTTTCCTAATCTAGTCGGCTAAGTATGTAAGGCAGGAATTCACAGAAGGACTCGGAGTGACACAGGAGAAAGGCAAATGCGGCACGGAATGTGATAGAACTTTAGAAAAGCAGAAGGATATGTGTGTATAGATTAGGTATACTACTTACACCGACACGATTGGGAAAATCACACACGCGATCTCAAGTAAACTCTCCGAATACATTTGTAAAAACTATACGTTGGTGTCCCTAATCCTATCATTACCTCTTTTGCTCGGCTGTAACCCATCTTTAACATCTTATATATATATATATATATACATATATAAATTTGTATTAGGTTATTACGTGACACATTAGTTTGTATATATATTTTCTGTTACGGAAAGGACGTAAGAAGTTGCAATAACTTTTGTCCAATCCATTTATCTTTTGTTGCAATAAAATTGATTTAAACTAAACACTCATGATTATGATATACCACAGCGTCAATATACCACAGCGTCAATACACCACAGCGTAACCACGAGGGAAAAGTCCGATCCCCAGCGTGCAATGTATTTTTACTTCTTCATTGTCATCACATATATATACTACAAGTAACTGTTTACGATTTCAAACAAAATGGAATTCCTATACATATAGCTTACAAAAGGGGGGATAACTCTTGTAGTCTTATACAAACAATACTTGCATGGTGTAGCTTACAATCAGTTTTAGTTAATGGTTAGCTGGGGATTCGTAGCAAGGCCAGATGATTAAACAATTAACCATAAATTAGAAAACAATAATCGATCGGATAACGGAGCTAGTTACTGGTCAGAAGTAGTTGGAGTTTCATCTTCCGCACAAGTAATACAAGGGCCATCATCAATACAAGAAACTCTAGAAAAAATGTCCTTCCTTTAAAAAGTATAAATCCTAAATATAATGAAATTGCTTTCTTTTTAAATAATACTCCATTGGGATAAATGCGAAAGCCGGTAAGTATCATTAACAAAGAGGTATCATTAACTCGTAATTATGTGCTAATTATTTATTTTATTATAAGTCAATTATCTCACAAATACAACATACATGTACGTATCTCGTACGTATGAGAAATTGTCTCAACTCGTTATTACGAGATAGAATGTAACTTACTCATTCGTACAAGATAAAAAGTACGTATACATGTGAATTGACTTCTGACAATTGCTATGCGGTTCCGTGTGTTTAATAGATGACTATCTGGCAATATTTATGTTGAATGTATATATCATAACGGTAATTGTAAAAGAAAAAAGGTTACAGTTGATGAACTAACAATGTAGTTACTACTGCAGCTAACTTACAACATCACATATGTTATACTTTGTTTTTCGGAGTGAAATACATGTAGAGAAAATGCCGGTACATAGCTTTGTCAAGGGAAATAACTCTTCCGGTCTTGTACAGTCTCCTTATTATAGAGACCACGACCTGTTTTAGTTTTGGTTCCTCCCTGGTCAGAAGTTAGGTCGTCCGAGTCAGTACAGGTAAGGAACAAATATCAATAGCGAAGTCTTGCAGAAAGAGTTTAATTCCGTTTTGCCCGCCCCCACCCTTCTTTTATATATTTTTTTGTGTTTAATATTCTAAACTTGCTCTCTTTTAAATATTGCTCGAGCAAGGAAAAGTGTATCATAGCAAGATACCTAGATACAAGGGCGGTTAAAATGTACTCTGATCCATTTGTACATGAAACTGAAGTTGACGACCTTGTAACCCTATTTGCAAATTATCTTCCAGTGATTATCTTCCAGTGATTATCTTCCAGTGACATTTGTGAACCCAATTCAGCATTATGCAAATCAATTAGGAGCATTTCGTTGTATCAGTGGTACGGAGAAAGGTGCAACCGAATGTTTGAAGCGTTCACGAGTTATGTGCTGTGCGGAAAAAAGTATTATTTATGGAGAATTGATAATCTATCACTTAAATTCTTGTTGAAAATTACTTAATTAGAATTGAATAGTAGTGACGGATATATATAGTGATCTTGCAGTGAGATTAAATGTTGATGATAGATACAACTTGCCGTACGGTATGCAGGCTGAATTATAAGCTGTGAGACTGGGATATATCTGGGACACTCACTTGACCAGAAACGTTAAAATATGCATGGTCTATCATTAGATAAAGATATTTTATTGTTACGCACAAGTAATATATAGAGAAAGGCTGTCACAAAGCTCGGGATACACAGTTACAAGTCGGAAAGTTGACACACACATCTTTCAAAGAATAAACGAATAAGCAAATTATGTAAGCTTGATACAGTGTATCGAGGATGAATGTCGCTTTGTTTTTTATGTCCATTTTTTGTTTACCCAATCTGCTAACTTAAAGATATATTGGTTGACACTTAACGGTTAGCATGTTTAAATCTATTACTACTCTCAAACGACACAATCTACAATATTGTTTGATTTATTTATATATGAAAATTTGCGTCTAAGAGTTAATTCAAATATCGAAACCTTTTCTTAGGACTTGTAAATTGTTATCGATGTATACAAATTCATAGAGCTCAACGAGCAAAACATCAATGTGTGACATGTCGATGACTTTGGTACGAAATTCTGCGATAAAGGGTTGTAAATAGATGTCTGAGGTACAGGGTTGTACGGATATGCCTGAGGTACAGGGTTGTTAGAAGATGTCTGAGGTACAGGGTTGTACAGATATGTCTGAGGTACAGGGTTGACCAGAGATGTCTGAGGTACAGGGTTGTACAGAGATGTTTGAGGTACAGGGTTGTACAGAGATGTTTGAAGTACAGGGTTGTACAGAGATGTCTGAGGTACAGGGTTGTACAGAGATGTCTGAAGTACAGGGTTGTAAATAGATGTCTGAGGTACAGGGTTGTAGGGATATGTCTGAGGTACAGGGTTGTTAGAAGATGTCTGAGGTACAGGGTTGTACAGATATGTCTGAGGTACAGGGTTGACCAGAGATGTCTGAGGTACAGGGTTGTACAGAGATGTCTGAGGTACAGGGTTGTACAGAGATGTCTGAGGTACAGGGTTGTACAGAGATGTCTGAGGTACAGGGTTGTACAGAGATGTCTGAGGTACAGGGTTGTACAGAGATGTCTGAGGTACAGGGTTGTACAGAGATGTCTGAGGTACAGGGTTGTACAGAGATGTCTGAGGTACAGGGTTGTACAGAGATGTCTGAGGTACAGGGTTGTACAGAGATGTCTGAGGTACAGGGTTGTACAGAGATGTCTGAGGTACAGGGTTGTACAGAGATGTCTGAGGTACAGGGTTGTACAGAGATGTCTGAGGTACAGGGTTGTACAGAGATGTCTGAGGTACAGGGTTGTACAGAGATGTCTGAGGTACAGGGTTGTACAGAGATGTCTGAGGTACAGGGTTGTACAGAGATGTCTGAGGTACAGGGTTGTACAGAGATGTCTGAGGTACAGGGTTGTACAGAGATGTCTGAGGTACAGGGTTGTACAGAGATGTCTGAGGTACAGGGTTGTACAGAGATGTCTGAGGTACAGGGTTGTACAGAGATGTCTGAGGTACAGGGTTGTACAGAGATGTCTGAGGTACAGGGTTGTACAGAGATGTCTGAGGTACAGGGTTGTACAGAGATGTCTGAGGTACAGGGTTGTACAGAGATGTCTGAGGTACAGGGTTGTACAGAGATGTCTGAGGTACAGGGTTGTACAGAGATGTCTGAGGTACAGGGTTGTACAGAGATGTCTGAAGTACAGGGTTGTAAATAGATGTCTGAGGTACAGGGTTGTAGGGATATGTCTGAGGTACAGGGTTGTTAGAAGATGTCTGAGGTACAGGGTTGTACAGATATGTCTGAGGTACAGGGTTGACCAGAGATGTCTGAGGTACAGGGTTGTACAGAGATGTCTGAGGTACAGGGTTGTACAGATATGTCTGAGGTACAGGGTTGTACAGAGATGTCTGAGGTACAGGGTTGTACAGATATGTCTGAGGTACAGGGTTGTACAGAGATGTCTGAGGTACAGGGTTGTACGGATATGTCTGAGCTACAGGGTTGTACAGAGATGTCTGAGGTACAGGGTTGTAAAGAGATGTCTGAGGTACAAGGTTGTACAGAGATGTCTGAGGTACAGGGTTGTACAGATTTTTCTGAGGTACAGGGTTGTAAAGAGATGTCTGAGGTACAGGGTTGTGAGGAGATGTCTGAGGTACAGGTTGTAAAGAGATGGCTGAGGTACAAGGTTGTAAAGGGATGCCTGAGGTACAGGTTGTAAAGAGAGGTCTGAGGTACAGGGTTGTGAGGAGATGTCTGAGGTACAGGGCTGTACAGATATGTCTGAGCTACAGGGTTGTACAGAGATTTCTGAGGTACAGGGTTGTACAGATTTTTCTGAGGTCCAGGGTTGTAAAGAGATGTCTTAGTTACAGGTTGTAAAGAGATGGCTGAGGTACAAGGTTGTAAAGAGAGGCCTGAGGTACAGGTTGTAAAGAGATGGCTGAGGTACAAGGTTGTAAAGGGATGCCTGAGGTACAGGTTGTAAAGAGAGGTCTGAGGTACAGGGTTGTTAGGAGATGTTTGAGGTACAGGGTTGTAAAGACATGTCTGAGGTACAGGGTTATTTGGAGATGTCTCAGGTACAAGGTTGTACAGAGGTGTCTGAGGTACAGGGTTGTGAGGAGATGTCTGAGGTACAGTGTTGTACTAAGATGTCTGAGGTACAGGGTTATTTGGAGATGTCTCAGGTACAGGGTTGTTCAGAGATATCTGAGGTACAGGGTTGTACTAAGATGGCTGAGGTACAGGGTTGTTAGGAAATGTCTGAGGTACAGGGTTGGTAGGATATGTCTGAGGTACAGGGTTGACCAGAGATGTCTGAGGTACACGGTTGTACAGAGATGTCTGAGATAAAGGGTTGTACAGAGATGTCTGATGTACAGGGTTGTAAAGAGATGTCTGAGGCACAGGGTTGTACAGAGATGTCTGAGATAAAGGGTTGTACAGAGATGTCTGAGATAAAGGGTTGTACAGAGATGTCTGATGTACAGGGTTGTAAAGAGATGTCTTAGTTACAGGTTGTAAAGAGATGCCTGAGGTACAAGGTTGTAAAGGGATGCCTGAGGTACAGGTTGTAAAGAGATGTCTGAAGTACAAGGTTGTACAGAGATGTCTGAGGGACAGGGTTGTAAAGAGATGTCTGAGGTACAGGTTGTAAAGAGATGTCTTAGGTACAGGTTGTAAAGAGATGTCTGAGGTACAAGGTTGTAAAGAGATGCCTGAGGTACAGGTTGTAAAGAGATGTCTGAGGTACAGGGTTGTAAAGAGATGTCTGAGGTACAGGTTGTAAATAGATGTCTGAGGTACAACGAAAGGATGTTCACTAATAGTGCTGCAGTAAAACTACGGTGTATCTACAGCGGTATATGATACCAGGGAGCCCTTAATTATAAGTAGTTCTGGCTATTGGTAGCTGTTGTCCGTGTGTTGTTTGATTTGAGATAGGCGTCTATGGGAATAGACACTAGCTAAAAATGATTTTTATTGAGGAAGACGAGTCGATCATCTTATGCTGTGCTGGTGTTAAAAAGGTCCCCGGTAGATAGATCCAACAAGGTGCAATAGGCCACGAGTTTGAGCTTGGAGGGACACTGTCTCAAGTCAAGTTTGCCTTCCTCATGGCTATGGATATATGATAGTCTCATTTAGACGTAATTCTGTAGTCACGCTTTGGTAAGGATTTTTTCTGGCTTTTCCATAAGTACAATTTACAATGAGTTATTGCACCATTTGATTATTATTCAAACTTTTCAACATTACGAGCAGGAAATGGAGAATACGTGAATACCTATCTATTTATAGTCGTTTTATTTTCCCTGTAGGTATATATACATGTACCATTTGATATACAATGTAATGATTGCTATGACATCATTGATTTTTGTATAGATATAACGTTATTCACTACTGATATATCTACTGTTGTGCCGTATGCAAGCTAATATTACGACGTGACAAATGTTGATATTTACATGTAACAGTGTGCATGATTTCATAATGTGGTCAGTTATTATCCTGGAACAGCCTGCAGAGTTTAAGGGCTTTAGAATTGTTATCCCAAATTCCGTTTAAAACGGCGACGTAGCAGACATTGTACATCTTCTGATGACGTGGCAATAACTTGAGGGGCAAAACAATTTAGAAAGTGATGTAATGTCCCTAACACTGGTACTAAACATCTGGCTATTTTCATTCCCGAAGCCTCTCTCTGAACTGGATTGGTTTTCACGGGGAATGTGTATATTCATACGTCAGCAACAGAAGCTTTGAGCTTTTCTTCAAATCAACTAATATGGGTGTCACAAGAAATTGCCGAACCGTGAAATATGCATTCGCAGACGTAAAAACCCGAATACATTTAGCGGGTTAAGACGGCGCAAGTATTCAAACAAAGAATTGCATAAATTAAAAACAAGACTAAAACAAAAGATATTAGGGAACTTTTATTGTTAGAACAGATATATTAAAATATACTCATAATACACGACATTAACAAAACCACGGCAATTACTGAGCTCCGAACAGCAAAGAAGACGGGAGTGACCTGCCCTTAAACCTCATCAACCCTCGATAAAAGGGAAGGAAAGACTCGGAAAAGAAGAATACAATTATGATAACGAAATTCATTGCGAGTTGCCAGCAGCCTTTAAACTATTTATCTCACAATTTGTGACATTGAAAATGGGAAAATTGTAGAAAGTCAAATTCGGTATAAACTGCAACACGAAACAATCTAATTATTGAATTGCTAAGTATGATAGTTTTTACATTGTATAAACTGTAAACCTTTATGAAGGCGTTGTGTTGCCCCGGGGACAGGTATGTCTGATCAACATTTTATCAATATGTCGACACATTGCTGGATACAGTGACGGCAGCTTCACATGTTATCTCTATGTACGCAATCTCCACTAAGACCAATAGAGTTCAAAGAAGGACCTGTACATTCTCAATGTCCTTTTTATAACATTTGTTTTGTAATGTACCTGTTATTGTCTGTCCAGATTATTAAAATCGTTCATCCCCTTGGGGATGAGATAGGGGGATCTCAACCCGAGGGGGGAAGATTCTTAAGTTGCCAAACACGAGGCTTTATTAAGTGATAACAATCAATGAACCAACACATTTATCAAGTGGAATACTTGGGTAACTGCACGTAGTATACTATGAGCATGTCAAACCCAGTGCTACACGTAAATAATACAGCAATGCTGTATGTTTTTTTTCTACAATAATATAGATTCTTACATGATCTACAGTATGAGTAATGTAAGTGATCTACAGTATGAGGAATGTAAGTGATCTACAGTATGAGGTATGTTTGTGATCTACAGTATGAGGTATGTTTGTGATCTACAGTCGTACACATAACCCGGAGTGCAGTGAAGCACATCCGGAAGAGAGTAATGACACTGTCACACCATGGCCATCACGCATACACACGGAATACACAGATACTTGCTAAATAGGTCAGAGTTGCTGTAACCACAATATGGCTGACACAGGAATTGTGACAGGGGCACAACTTGCAGGTAAATCGACTTAATTAGGGTATGACCGTACTGTATATGTTCAGTACTACTTGGTTAAATAAGGGCCGTGCTTGGAATCGTAATTAGGGGATGACCGTACTGTATATGTTCAGAACTACTTGGTGTATTAAGGGCCGTGCTTGTAATCGTAGTTAGGGTATGACAGTACTTTATATGTTCAGTACTACTTGGTTAAATAAGGGCCGTGCTTGTAATCGTAATTAGGGTATGACCGTACTGTATATGTTCAGTACTACTTGGTTTATTAAGGGCCGTGCTTGTAATCGACGGCTGACGGAGGCTGAACACCGTCGCACAGCTCCGATATGGCTACTGCTATCCGTGTTGAGATCCGGCTCTCAACTCGGAGAGCTGATTTTAGTTGGTGTCAATTACACCCTTACCTAATTCATCACTTCTGTTCTATTGATACATTGGTTAGGGTGGTTTATGTAAATTCACTTATGATTTTAATTGTGGTTGGTACTAAAACTGGATGGTCACAGGATAGTATGGCAATGACAACACAATAAATGGTATTACTATTATTAGAAGTATCGACCAGAACGCGTTATTATACAGTACTTCTCATAACGAATACACATATGTTAACGTTAACAATGGCTGATTGGAGTGCTGCCACTGACCCGTCAAATCCCCCACTAACAAAATACAGACATGGACTACACACACGCTTAAAACCGTCTACACTGTCCTATTATAGGTTGTCTCAAGTGGGGCGGTGTTCTAAATTAATCATAACTTTAATTTTATTTCCATCATAGCAACATTCTTCACCTCATTTTTTCTGTAAAAAAAATATAATATAACATATAATTTATTACAATAATAGTCAAACTGTTATCTTCACAGGGTAATATATTAAACTTTGCTCTTGTTGACAGCTTGGCTCTGTAATGTTGCACTATCAAACTTACATTGACATTCTGGACGAGTTCGGGGCAACTCTCACATGTAAACACCATTATGTACAGAAAAAGATATCAAAATACATATGATATCAGCAAATTAATTTAAGTCGCATCTGTATAGCAGAAAACATAAAAATAATAAATCAATTAAACACACAGTTGTGTTGTGCCTATGTGATTGTCAATAACTAAAAGCTGACTATGGTCAAAATGAATAGATAAATACCATGATCTTAATCCATCCTCGCTACATAAAACAGAATACCGAAGCGTCAATAAAACCATAATAAGATAAACAAGGCCAAATTATGAACAAAGGAAAAATTTAAATGGAGACCATTGAAAAGGTAAAAACAGAATAAGACCAAGTGTCCAGAAAGGTAAGCGAATTCTTCGAATACAAGTAATGTCGAGTCCTCACATCGAAGGTTTGGGTAACTACAACAAAACAATGAGGCATTCTAATGATTATAATAAAAAAAAACACCAACCTTCATCAAACACAAATAAATAGCTTGCTTATTTCCCTGCGAGACCCTGGTGACAACCGTAAAACTTGTCCGTGGACTTTATCAACCTGCGTCTCTGGAAACCTTGTGTTGTAAATGTGTCCGTCAACAGTTGACATCAATCACAGAAGTTATGATTTTCTGAACAAGCTCTCGAGTACCGAACCAACCTCAATATGTTAACAACGTAGTAGGGGAAGGGAATTATGCTACCAAGAAAGGGAAAGTTCAAAATCAGCTAAGTATTAAGCCGTCTTTGTTGATCTTTTTATAAGTCGATATCTGTAGATGTGAAATTGAAAGACTAGGCTATGTGTTTGTTACAAATCCTGATAAGTTCATCAATAAGTTCAGCTTCACGTCTTGAAAATCTTGCAACCGAACTCAACAAATATATTGTCAACCCGGAACGCAATCATTCTCACAATATCGTCCTCAGTTTATTTCATTTTGGTTTTTGATATATCTTTTTAATAAGATATGCTCCAAAATAATGTTCAACCATATCTTTATTTCGTCGAAAAGCAGCTCTCATATATGTAACAGGAGAACGTAAGCGTTCCCTCAGTTTGGTATGAGGAATGGTAGTGTACAGGGTCGAAAAGTCAAAAGTTTTGAAAGAAATAAACTCTTACCTGCAATAACATACATTTCTCCCTTTTTTGTAGACCAGAGTGTGAATATAAAGAAATTGCTTTCAAGGTAGGTAATCAACAGGTGACGGACTAAGGAACCATGAGTTTTGAGCATTCCCCGCCAAATATGTTTTTGTTTGATTTTGTTCTGATTTCGAAAAACCACCTGTGGTTCGAGCTGCCGATAGGAATGATTCTCCATTTTTGTCTCGGACATGACGTTTATTGATGAAAACAAGCGCGTCTGACGTACTGCATTTAGTAGTGTGTCGGTGTGTAATTGTGTTAAATCTTTAAAGTGTTAGTGATGCTTTAGTATGTTTGAAAAGCTTCATAAGATATTTGTAGATTTCCCCCCTTTTGTGTCATCTACAGGCAAATTCCATTGGGGGGCCTTACCATATTGGATCTTTTATTAGTTTATGGCTTCTGTTTTTAGTTTAAACTTTATTTTTTTCCAATTTTCTTTACGTATCTATTTTTTTCTAAAGGAAAACGAAATATCATAATATTTAGCGTAGCTAAAACACCAAACACGACTTCAGCACTTTATAATGCAGGGAAGCATTTCGTAAGTAATGTGGAGAATATGCTTGTCATTGAAAACGTTGCTATATTCTCTTAGTAATATATTAAATAAGATTGATCAGTTAGGAATAAGTAATATATTATATAAGATTGATCAGTTAGGAATAAGTAATATATTAAATAAGATTGATCAGTTAGGAATAAGTAATATATTAAATAAGATTGATCAGTTAGGAATAAGTACTATAGTTGCCGACACTATTAAATCCTTACATATACAGATTGAGCCGCAGCTTACCCCTGGAATACGTCCGGTGTCAACAGTCCTCCTCCACGACATACGACTTCACACACCCACGAAGGGGCTTGGCTATTATAATTTCTAATGGGAAGTTCCTGTCACAGGAGCCAAGACCTTACGCTGATGCCGAAATCTTCAATATGCAGAAACTGTTCAAAAAACTTTGCTTCGACGTATTGTCGTTTCAAGATCTGACGAAGAAACAAATGCTTTCAGTGCTTCAGGACGGTGAGTAGTGAAGACAATCTAATCTTCCACGCTGGGTAATGAAACATCTAAATCGGTTTGAAAGATAGAGGAAACGTAAGTTAGTCGTTCGCTGCAGAACTATAAGAAGTAAATATGCATTTAATCTGATTGATAAGGAAGTTCATGGAAGCAAGAACAAATACAAGAAAGATACAGTTTGTTATGAAACGCGTCCTTGAAAGAGCGCTATCAAAACTTCGTGTGGTTATTTTTGCATTTTTATTAAATTATTTTGCATAGCTCGTTTCGAGATTTTTTTTTATTTAAAAAACCCTTATTTCAATAAGGGCGTGGTTATATGTCGTTTATCTGGTAAATTTTGAAAGACATCAGCTTGAAAGCAAATTTATCACATAATGTACTGTTATCCATTGAATAGTACCAATGCCATATTTTTTTGCGTATTAACACATGTAATATGACCTTTCAGCCCTGTGATTGGTTGTAAGTTTCAATTGTTTCAATTGTGACGTCACGCCAATGACAAGTACATGACGTCACAAACTTACGCACTTGAGTCAAAATGGCGGCTTTTTACATTTCAAGGTTGCATGGAAATTGCCGTTTTACACGAATAAATGCCACAAATCTTGATTATGTGATAAAAAGGATCTTACACTCGTATTCATTTCATATGAAATTTATAAAACTCATCACGAATTTTTTCATTTTAGCTCGACAGAGGCTCGCTAAATTGAAACATTCTTAGCCTCGTTTCATAAATCTCATATGAAATGGAAACTCATGTAAGATCCTATATAATATAGTAGTTTTGTTATCTCCTTTGATAGTGATACATCTTTTGGCATTTTTCTTTTCTTTTTTAGCTGCCAAATTGAAGGAATTCCATCACCAGTCTGACTGTTTCGCATGTGTTATCGGTTCTCATGGAGCAGAAATATCGTCAGGATTGAACAATCATTCTGCGCTCAACACGAAGAAGCACGTGATTTACGGGACGGACGATCACGTGGACACAAATAGACTCACTGATCTGTTTAGCGACAGCAACTGCCCTGGGCTCCGACACAAACCGAAACTCTTCTTTATTCAGGTCTGTAGGCGATAGTTCAATTCTCAACTTGTAAGACATATATTTTACGAACAGACACTGAGAAACATGTGATTTTGACTACTCATTCCTTTTGCTCAATAAAAAGTTTTTTTTAGTACATGTGTTATATAGCTAATTTATCACATATATCGCATACGTTTTAACAGCAAACTTTTAATGAATGCCACAAAAACGTTTTACATACAATTCATGTTTATTATAAATTCGAAAGAAAATCTGCAACTATTCCTGAATAGTTCTTGAAAATGGTGTCGCTATTACTGTCACTTTGACCCTGAATGGTGCTTGGTTTTTGTTCGTAGGCCTGCAGAAAGGATTCAACAGCGCCTCCGGAATCGGGGTTAGATATCGGAATAGACATTAATATCACTTCTGGTCAACCTCCAACGTCAACACATCCTCATATATTTGCATTATATGAACCTCGAGGGACACCTACCCTAAGCAGACATGATCGTCTAGGATCAGTGAATAAAGTCGAAACTGTGGAATTTGGTCGTGAATTTGACAGCAGTGAAAAGGATACGGAAGCAGCTTTTAAAGATAACACGAATATAATTAAGAACGAAACGCCATCGAGCCAGGCTGAAATGAGTCCAATATCACCGACAGAGAATAGCACGAGTCTGTCATCACCGGAAGGCAATGAAATGAATCCAATATCACCGAAAGAGAATAGCACGAGTCTGTCATCACCGGAAGGCAATGGAATGAGTCCAACATTACAGGATAGCACGGCCGAATGTTTAACATCAACAAAAGACACAACGAGTATAACATCTCCAAAAGACATTGACACGAAACCGACAGATCATCTAGAATTTCGGAATGCTTTATCAAGGTTCTTGCATTTGAATCCATCCATTGATGAGCAAGTGTCCCCGGTTTGCAGACCAAATTTTATGATAATGTACTCGAGTCCACAAGGTAAATATCAACCACCAGAATATTGAATTTACCTTCGTTTTATCTACCTTATTAAATACATTATATGATAACGAAGTTATCAATAGACATGTATTACTTACCTCTCAAACAATGTTATCCAGAAATAAATATTATTTATATGATAATTTTGGCTCTATTTACCGGTATAAGACGTTGCCAAACGTTCTCACCCTAACGTCCGACCGAGCTGAAGATTGAATATAATAGTAATATCTTATTGATATCTGTATCGGGAAAGTCGAATATTATATATTTTATCTAAAAAACTACTAATGCAAGTAATCACAGAATTTTGTAATTGCAGATATGTTCTCGTTCGGTAGGCGGGAGGATGGAGGGATGACGCGTGCACATAATCCAGTAGTGGGCGGCTTCTTACTACATTCTCTTTACTCGGTTGTTGTCCGGGAAAATCTGTTTGTCCGACAGAGGACACCGGAAGGACTTGACATGCTGGACGTGTTCACTCGAGTCAATGATTTCGGCTTGAAGAACCTTATAGCTACGATAGAACTACCTGTGGGTAGAAATGAGGAGGACAAACAGAGATTCTGTGTTAAGTGTGCATTTGCTTTGGAACATCGACTCGTGGATGACGTCATATTCAGACATAAAGGTGAAACCTCACTTTGAAGGTTTGTACTGAAGATTCAAGAACTTCTTGAAGGTTAACACTGCTACATTGGGAAGCAGGACGGTTTAGACTGCTACACCAGGACTGTGGAAGGGTTACAATGCCGAATCTGGAATGTTCATACTGTTGGAAGGTGTAGGACTTCTACGATAGGAATCAGAAAGGTTTAGACTGTTACATCAGGACTGTGGAAGGTTTACATTTCTACATCAAAACACTGCTACAACAGGAATCGGAAACGTGTAGACTGCTACCTCAGAAAGGTTTACATTTACAATAGGTATACATTGCTACGTCATAAATTGTGAATGTGTAATGTAGCATCATGCACCTTAAAGTTTTTGGCTGCAACATTTCATCTCTGAATGTGATATAAGAAATCTTAAATTTATTTCAACTAAGTCCCTCACAGAAAGATACTCATCCTCCTTATGATAATCTGATAGTCCCTCACAGAAAGATACTCGTCCTCCTTATGTTGATCCAATAGTCCCTCACAGAAAGATACTCGTCCTCCTTATGATGGTCCCATAGTTCCTGACAGAAAGATACTCGTCCTCCTTATGTTGATCCAATAGTCCCTCACAGAAAGATACTCGTCCTCCTTATGATGGTCCGATACCAAATTGCCATCGTAATCTCTATTCCTTTTTGTGATATGATGGTTAATGTTTTGAATTATGCTAAGAAATCTATCTTGCTGTTTTTGTTGTCACTACCCCTACCAATCCTATTTGAATATTTTCATCATGTAACTCTTTCCTTTCTTCATATTTTGCACTAGTATTATCTATTTTGAGTTAAATGACACATTCTTTGACACTCCTCTTAATCCATTTTTGTTTATGTTGGTTAAACAACCTTGCAACAAGTTGATATGAAGAGGGGGGTGTAGAAGCACACCGACAAAAAAAGAAGCGAAGGGAGATGAGAAAATCAAAAAATCTTTTTTTTGCTTCTTCAATGTCCTCTAAGCAGAAGACATGGAATAATACCCCCCCCCCACCATCATGCAACCCCCTAACATTAGTTCTCTTGAACATGCAGTAAGATGTAACAGGCTCATATGCAAATTACAAATAAATTTATTCTCAAAGCGTCCATGATGTCTATCATAAGACTTGCCCAGTCTTCGTTTGTTTTGTTTGTTTGTTTGTTTGATTTTGTTTAACGTCCTATTAACAGCTAAGGTCATTTGAGGACGGCCTCCCCTGTGTGCAAGATGCATGCGTGTAGTGTATGTGTGTGTATTTTGGGAGGCTGCGATATGTTCGTGTTTGTCTCCTTGTGATAGCGCGGAACTGATGCCGACTTTATAGTGCTACCTCACTGAAACATACTGCCGAAGACACCCAGCAGGACGCCCCACCCGGTCACATTATACTGACAACGGGCGAACCAGTCGTCCCACTCCTAATTTGCTGAGCGTTAAGCAGGAGTAGAAACTACCATTTTTAAAGACTTTGGTATGTCTCGGCCAGGGGACAGAACCCAAAGCCTTCCTCACAGGGGCGAACGCTCAACAAATGGCCAAAAGTGAGGCATTGTCAAGGGAGACATTAGGAAGAAGAAAGTTATTTAGAAAGGAGAGAAGAGATAAGGTCCCAAATTTAGTCGCCTCTTACGATCATGCAATTGGGGGCAGCAGGTACAATTCTTACGCCCTCGTAAAAAAATATGAAAAAACTGGGATGTTACTATCAAGAAAGGTTACGTTTACGGTCGAAAAATTAAAATATACCGACTTGTCCGTATTATTAAATTTTCTCTGCGGGTCATGTTTGAAGTACAGATCGATGTGTGCGTTAGTAGTCTGTTGTGACCTTGATCCAGTTCAGGAAGCAAAACAATGTACATTTTTGTGTGGCCAAATTTCTCGTTACCAAAGAAATCACGTTGTCATTATATCAGAAAATGAAACTAAGCACTTGTGTTAATATTCAAAATGAACCAAACATGGTCATATATGGGTAAACTGCTTTATTAGTATCATATATAACAAAACAGGTTATGAAGAACATCGTTATTTGTTTCCAGTTGAAAATATGACTTGTTTCACGTTTTCGAAGCACGAATGAAAATTCTGACTGAAATATACATCTGAAATAAATACATTTCGTTCAACAAGAAATTTATAAACCGTTGATTCAAGAGCGGAACATTTTTTTTAAAGGCGTCTTTCAATTTTGCGTTAACATAATTGAGTGGTGTCTATTTTAAATACAAATTAATATAGTTTAAACTTCATCAGCAACTTCTGTGTCTTTTATTATGATATCCGTTAACTAAATATCAGTCCTGACAGGACTTAGAGTCTCGTACTGTACACATAACAATCAATGAACTTTTAAAGGAAATCTGATAGTACAGGCACAATTTTAACTTGATTCAATCATGATGGTATATTGATATGCCATTCCAAGTGAATTCATTTTCGGCCGACACTTCAAGTAGCGATGTTTAACGTGTTCATAAATACTGAAATAGATCTATACTTCTACTAATAAATGCTGTATTGAAAACACATGTCACATCTGTGATTTCCAAATTAAAGCAAGTGCAAGGTCATATACCGATACAAACTTTTATAGAAAGCTAGGCTAGCAACATAAAGTTGTTTTTTTTTTTACTTTTGTATCACCATTTATTTAATACATGTACCTGAATGTGTTTATTACATCTAATCAAACATTTGTGTACCACAACCTGTATTTAAAACAACAGTCAGTGTGGCACTTACACCATTAATCTGCTGTTGATTTATCTTGGTAATAGTCGTATTTAATGAATATACCACATATACTTTATGACCTGTTATAACAGTGTTAATGTTCCACACACGAGATTTCCACTGAAACATCATGATCCGTCTCTGTACAATGTTTGTTAGGGCCATTATTTCCTTTTAAATGAGTTAATGTGACTAATGTGATATATACCATATAGCTAACACTTTAGGCTACATTGTGTACATGTACATATACATGTATACGTTTGTTGGAGGATTTTATCTATTTTAAGTTACAATGTACTACTCTCGATCTTTCAATTAAAACATATTTGTTTCTGAAAAATATTTTATTATCGATCCATTTGAATTAAACTTAGAAATCCACATCATCGTGTCAGGAGTAACACAAAAATGGCTTTAGAAGTGTGAGCCCACACCATTCACTCCTGGAGCTATGGTCACATGTTATTTCTGCACTCGATGTAGGGGTTGGTGGACTTGTGCAAGTCTAGATTTTAAGAATGTATTTAAAAAAATCTTTCTTTTACCGTTAGGTGTGTAGTCTTCCTTTAAGAAATCATAAAATATAAAATTTTACCCTTATAATAACATATAAACGCTCTGGCTCTTAGCCAAAAGATGTCCAAATAATGAAGAGCTAGGCGTTACTTTCGGAAGTATCCGACAGACGATAAAGCATACGTAATATTTTTCTAAAACAAAACCGATATATCATCGTAAGAGTTGCCCAAATCAACAGTCACTGCCTTCTGCTGACTACACCGGTTCAATCTCGTTCTGTTGCCAGGCAAGGCGACCTTGGAATCGTAAGTAAAAAACTCTCTTTATAAGTGTCGGTATGTATCATTACGCGAAAGGACTACACTGTAACACGGCGCGATTTCATTTACTACTGTATTAAGTATGAGATTAAATATCAATGGTTACGATACATGTACGTCAAACAAAAATCAAAGCTATTACGGAAGCAGGGACCTACGTTTTAAAGCAGTATCCAGTGGCGGATCCAGAGGTTTTTTTTGGGCTTCAGGAAACCCCCCACCCTGAGAATTTTCTTTAAAAATCATGTATTTTCACCATTTTCCTCAATTTTTCCCCACATGGAAACCCCCCCAGGAAATTTGGAAACCCCCCCAGATAGGTCTCTGGATCCGCCACTGGTATCGTAACAGAAGAAGTGTTCAAGCGTGTGCGAAAATTCATTAATTTGTTAAAAATTGAAAACGCGTTTTCTATAAAAAAAAAAAAAAGGTTTGATTGGAAAACGTTTAAAAGGTCCTACAAATTTTTGTTTTTGACTGTTGCCCATGTTTTGGTTAAAATGAGATTACGAATGCCCTTTTTCACAAACTGTCCCACAGGATGAAGTGTTTTGAATACCCTCAACTGCTGTAATGCTGGGTTTTATTCATATATACACGCGCTTTTGATTTCTAAGAAATACACTAAATTAAATGTTAAATATTACTATATTACCAACAATAAAATAACTAATCAGAGCTTTATTCTTCAAACAGTACATGCTTTTCATCTCACAGTTAAAGATGAATGATCTAAATGACACGGAAGTTTTTTTTCTTTCAAGAAATTTTCATGTGAACATTAATACCTTTAACCAACATGTTAATAACATATTTCATGAAGCTCTCAAAATAAGTTTTTAATATATGTTTTGATAACTTAAGCATATAGAATTCTAGTGCATACCTAACTAATGAATCTCATTACAAATGAATTCATTGTTAAGCTTTGAACAATCTAAACTAGAGTCTAAGTCTCTCTTTTGTACGCACAAAAAAATCTTCATAAAAAACTGCACACACAATCATTTCAAAATTCTACATAATTAAAACTGAGTTGTGTTCTACACTAGAATGTAATTCTACAATATCACAGGGATAAAATTGCACAAACATGACCCGTTTCAATACTCTGTTAGGAAAAGTATAGGAATACTGTGTTCATCCAGAATTCTTCGATAGCTTTCGGATATTTTAATCTACCGGTGTAAAATATAACACAAATTATTCATACTCCAACAAAATAAGAACAGAAAGTTTCATAATCAATGTAATTAAAGTTAGACTTGTAATTCCGCTCCTACGATCCACTCCAATACAAGATCTAACAAAGCCTCGTTTGAGTTCATCTCCGCATAAACTTCGGTTTTAGCCAATCAGCGCATTACCTTGTAAATAGTTTAATACCAAAGCAATCATGGCAAAATATTCTCCGAATGAGATCATATTGAATGATATCGATTGTTTTCTAAGTCACGTGTTAGTATTTTACACGAAATAAAGCAATGGTGATGTAAGATATTTAATTGTGATTCATTTCTATCAAAAACATTCCAAGAAATATTTGAAATATTCAAAAATAAACGGTATATAAAAATGTTAGCAAATTGAGTTATTCAATAACATTTGCAATTTTTAAAATTATAAAATTGATTGCCGATAGTCAAATGACCTCTAGATTTGAAGAATGATATATAATCTTTCACAAAAATAATTATGAATGAGTTCTGTGCAAGATGAAGTGTTGCTTACAGTCAACAATATACCATGTAATTAAAAGATATTTAGAATATTAAAATATGAAATAAAATGAAAAATATTGAATACAATAAATGTTTTTCTTTTTTAAAAATTACATTGAGAACTTCCTTTCAAAATGCAAAAATAAAAATAAATTAAAAACTGCAGGGTGTGACGTCACACAAAGTTGGGACACCCAACAGCGAACTATGAGGTGGGTCAAGGGGCCAGGGGCCCTGCCAATGTTCTCCTGTTGAGTGAGCAAACTTGGGAATATCCAACCTTTTCATTTGTCTTCAGCCTCCCATCTTTCTTCAAACAGGCCCCTGATTGGTCGACCCGTCCCAACTTTCTTCCAACATTCATTCATTAATCTCGACCAATCAGGGAGGAGTATGGCGTCCCAAATTTTCGAGACAGACATATTGTTTTCGAAGCGACCCTCACTACAAAGAAAAAATCCCAATTTTCCAGAGTTTTACTGAAATTCAGACCACATTTTTTATCAAGCATCCTCCTTAGATCGTATGTAAGCTATGTCGATGTTTTCTTGGCACTATGCAAGTTATTATTCTCTGATTTTGAGCCGAGTTTCGTGGCCTCAAAATGTAAACAAACATGACAGCTCGCACGTGGATGAAACACTGTATATATTTACACTCGGGAAATTACATGTTGACATTAATCATGAATAGACATTCCACTCATTTAACCTGAAAAGCTAAATAAATCAATAATGGATACACACAGGGTCAAATTTACCGAGTATTACAGACTCAAAGTTATCGTTTCAGAACGTTAAAAATCAAACAAAAAAATATTGAAAATCAATAATAAACGTCAAAACAACTGCACGCAAACAAACTCTCAGGGGACGTTCTATAATCAGGGTTTCCCCGTTTTGTATTTCACATCACAAATAACATGCTATAGCGTTTTATGAAATGTATAAGTAATTTTCTGCGTGTGTTGTTTAATGGTTAGTAAATACAATATATACAAGTGTATACGTAAAGCGACACGTTTTACAGCATTTTGGGGGTAGGACTAAAGACCGATACTGACCGGATTAGTACATGTGGATGGACATGACAATGTCACTTTTTCTTTCCAGACAATGAATGCATCAACCAAGCTTTAGAATCAGGGCCGACGGGTCACTGGTGTTATCGTACACGAAAGAAGCAAACGAGATGTTAATTAAGCACTAAAAGACCTCGCGTAATGGGCAAGCAACCCGACGTTGAGCAGAAGGCAAAACACAGAGTCCAGCAACGTGGTGGTGATGTCTTGGACACAAGACAGGTCCTTGCGGAGATGGCTGTCCTGTTTGAGCATTTTCAGGCCAGACTTTCAGATGGCTGTGTGAAAATGCCCTGAGCTATGCCGGATGGATAGTGGATGATTCGAGGAATGAAAAGGAGTTGCCAAACTGCAGTCATCTTACTGCCAATAAGGTAAATATAATGTTATTGCAACAGAAAAATGACAAAACATAATGCTATATATAGCACAGATCATATTAAGGTAATGCATTTTCATAACAGCCCTACATGGGAGATTCAGGTGCCCTATATTTATTATGGTGTCTGTCAAGGTCAAGGTCACTGCTACCAAAAATAGACCATGGGAAAGTGAGGCGGTTCCTTCTTGAGTTGTCACTGTTATAGTTTAAATTTGTCATCCACAGGTCTATTTGCCGAGCTACTTGGAGCTCTTTCCTGAGGGGAGGAAAATTGTAGAAATGAAGAAACAGGAGAGAGAGAAGCAGGTGGCCCAATCCCTTTCGATTCTGCGGGCCCGTACACCAACCCAGGGCCCAAGACAATCATTAGTGAGAGCTCCCTGCCCTGAGGACACCTTCCACCAGGGTCAGGACTCCTGTCCCTAGGACACCCTCCCCTGGAAAGGCCTCTAGAGAAACAGCACTCCTCACGTTGCTCGTGAACCAGCCCAATGTGTCTCCAAGGGCGCTACGGTCAAAGGTGAGACGTATAATGACGCCACAGAAATCCACATTTGCACCGTATGTTTCAAAGCAGGCTCCATCGTCGACATCGGTCAAGACAGTTGCGCCAGGCCAGTCAGACGAATCGGATGATTCCCTGGATGATGTGGTCCTGCTCTCGTGCGTGGAAAAGATAGAGGCTGACCCGGGGGAAGGTAAATATGTGTTTTTTTTAACGGTAACATGATTTAAACATTCTTTATTTGCAAAAATACAAATGGGATAAGACACAAGCTAAAGACAGCTTGAAATTCTCTATTTAAACCTTGTCCATGACCATATGGCTCAATTGGTATAGCACCCGTCTCGAGTTTGGGGGGTCCCGGGTTCAAACACCGGTCTGACTGTTTATTTTTCTGCTCCTATTACAACGCAATACACACCATCATAACTTAATGATTCCTTATTCATTTCAGCCAGTCACACGACCACCGCAACCAAGCAACGGACCCCGACCAAGCGCACACCACCCAGAGCAACTCCCCACGCAACACCGCAGGAGGAATTCAAACCCGACCCCGAGCAGCAAAACGAATCGACGATAACTCCAGAACCGCGTGCCAACACAGCAATTGCCCGAGGACGATTCGAAACCAGACCAGAAACAGACTGGCAATGCGAGCATCATGTCGCCCCCGCGTCACCAATGTCCGCTCTTCGACGGCTGGCGACAGACACTGCCCGAAGAAGACCACCAGTGGGTTTCCAAGGCCTTGTTCTGAGTGACAAAGTTGAGCAAGGTTGAATTGGACATCTCCAGATGTAACAAGCTCTGGTCCTACCCACCTCTGCCTCCCAAGGTTACAGCACAGACACCGCGGCCAGACAGAAGCTTTTTTCCTGTGGAACCTACCAGCGCGTGCGACAGGTGCTAGACATTGATGGATACTACAGCATGGCTGCAGAATATCTTCAGTGAGCTGGAAGTCCTGTGTTGTGCAACAGTTGGACCTTGGTCCGAGTGATCACCATGCTCCGGCAGCGAGGCCTCGGAAACAGCTCTACTCAACTGTACCAGAAGCTGGAAGAGCAGCATAGCCAGGAGCGTCTTAGGAGGTTGGCCTTGTATCTGTGCAAAGGGTTCTGTTCCAGCTCCCTGGTGGTCAAGCCCTCATTCCAGAAGCCTCCAGAAAAGAGACCCTTGCCCAGGCCTCAGTGGCTGTTGACCGCCTACTGTCAGGAAGTGATGCTCCGTCTAGACGAAGTGAAGGCCTCCATCACCTCCACCTTTTGGACGCGTCCTGAATATGGACTCTACCAAGAAGATGGCAAAGAATTTGGCCGGTCACAGTACCGGAACTGCAGCACCTATAAGGTGTAGGAAAGGGGACAGAACAAAAAAATTGAACATTTTTAATGCTGCCTAGCAACATGCTAGAAGGCCCCAAGCCCTTGTAAAAGCAGAGGGAAAATGTTTTTTAAAGCCTGAAATTACTTAATGTGAAGTCGTAGTGCTATATACATTCCTGTAGTGAAGCGGTCATCACACTTTCCACTGTGTGGCAGAAGACCCAGTTTCGAATCATGAAGGGGATTATAGGACGAAAGTTTTCGACTCTATTAATACTTTTTTGTTATACTGCGAAATCCAGTAAATCTTAATCACATCACGATTTAAGACCTCGTGTGTGACACACCTGCTGAAGCACAGGCACCTCTTCCCCACCCAAACTCCTATGAGCAGACCGACCAAACCTCTCTGGGTCCCCATCAGTGAACAGCATCATTTTCAGCATGGCTGCAGAATATCTTAAATGTCAGTCTTGCCAGATAAGGGTCATCAGCTGGAAGTCCCGTGTCGTGCAACAGTTCAACCTTGGATTTTCACCAAGGAATTTGCAAGCCTAATATCATGACTTTAGGCCTTTTGGTACAGCAGAAAATATAACTTTAAGTTTTGTATATATTTGACCTCTGACCATGAAAGTTAACCAAACTTATTTTTGTTAGCAAACTGTCCAAATCTATTCCAGAATCTACCAGTCAAACTTCAGAAGCATTCTTCTTTAATTTTTGACATATTTGACTTTGAAAGTAGTACAAGGTGATTTTTGTTCGCAACTTTGTTGGGCTCCATTAAAGGAAGCTACCAGCCAAATAACTGTAGGTATTGGAAGTTTCGAAGAAATCATTTTAACGAAAAGTATGGACAAATACTAAAAACCAAGCAAGGAAAAGAAAATTGAAGTAAACATTCTTAGAGATTGTAATAAAACATGAGCGATAGCTTGCATTACAAGCCAACATTTAAACAGTGTTAAGAAGGAGGCAAAATGATTGCAAAACAAGAGGCCCATGGGCCTTAACGGTCACCTGAGTCCTACAGTATTTATTTTTGTTGTTGAAATATGTACCAATTTAAGTAAAAAATAGTTAAGTATAATGTTAACTTAACTTTGTCAGGACCATGAGCTGATCATTCCTAGACCGATTTTAAATAAGATCGGCCTATTATTAATTGTTTTTAAGTTTAGAATAGGTATTTACAAAATAGCGACTGTGGTGGCCATATTGGATTTCTGATTGACCTGAAAAATAACAACACTTTGTCAGGACCATGAGTCGATCATTCCTAC